AAGACTGCGCGGGGATCTCATATTAGCGTATCAGATACTCTGTGATCCCAACCACGTATGCCGCCATTTGCTGAAACTTAGCCACAACACGCAGCTCAGGGGTAACTGCTTAAAATTTAAGGAACAATATGGCCGTCTAGAATGTCGACAGAATTACTTTTCCCTTCGAGTTTGCCAACTCTGGAACGCACTCCCAGACTCATCATGATCATCGTCATCATTATACATGTCAGCTAGAGGTGGCGAAACACCTCCGCTATTGTACCGCAATACATAAAGGAAATACACACATACAATACATAAAGGAAAAATAAATACGAGAGTTGCATACCAGCTGAGCTACCAGCAACGGATAGGCATTGTTCCGGTAAGCTACCAGCCAGCTACTAGGCAAAAACATTTTATTATTTATTATGTTTTACCCTATGAAATGAGATCGTAGATGGAGGGGGAGGCTAAAAGAGATGGGGAGGGACAAAGAAACTCACAGCAGGAACGCCACTGAGATCGGCTCCTTGCCATATCAGCAAGTGTATCCAGCCAAACGTGTTCACCGTCTTTTGGACCCCAACCAGGGAGCCGATACGCTCCAACCGAGGCTAGCTCCGAAGTGAGGGACTTCATTCCCCTGGACCAAGTCATCGCTTGGCCACCTCTCCTCTTCTTCCACCCACATCCCCCGTGAGCAAACAACGCACGTCGAGGGAGTCGGTGGGCTGGCATGCGCAACACGTGGCCGAGCCATCGGAGGCTGGTGCGGGAAATAACGGTGCTGAGCGGTTCATTCCCTTTTCCTGGGTCGTAAACAAAGCGTCGAACACGCTCGTTGCTCATGCGGTGTTCTCACCCTATGTGAGCCAAACTGCGAAGGCGCCGATGGTCGAACGTAACTAGCCTCTTTATGTCCGTCGATCTTAGGGGCCAGGTTTCACAATCGTACAATAAGGTCGAACGTACCGCTGCATTGTACATTCTACCCTTCAGGGCGAGAGTGATGTCGCGCCGCCGCCATAGGTGGCGAAGGTTAGCAAAAGCACTTCGAGCTTTCGCTATACGGTTTTAGATCTCGTCTTCGATCAAAAGAGCGCTGATACAACTTCTCAGGTAATTGAATTTCTGTACGACTTCTAGCTGATCCCCACCAAGGGTCAGCACAGGGGGCGATCCCTGCCGATCTTGGAGGAACGCTTTGCACTTCGATGGTGCAAAACAAAGCCCGAAGCGACTGACTGCCAGTACTAATCTGTCCAGCGCGACTTGGTACCTCTGGGAGCTGTCACAGATGAGGGCAATGTCGTCTGCATACTCCAAGTCAAGAAGTCGTTCTCCTGGGAGTAGCTCCACACCTTCCAAGTCATGTCCTGTAAATGCAAACTCCATGACTTCGTCAATAGCGAAGTTGAAGAGGAAAGGTGACAGCGGGCATCCTTGTCTCACACCGCTGGAGATATTAAAGGGTGGCGACAGCTTGCCGTAAGCCCGCACTCTGTCCGTGCTACGCGCATATAATGCTCGGATAATATTTACATATTTCTTGGGCACGCCTTTCCTGAGTAGACAATTCCAAAGGGCACATCGATCAACCGAATCGAATGCACCTTTGATGTCGAGGAACACGACTACGGTGGACCGCCTATTATGTGTGACGGTGCTTCAACAACTGACGCAAGGTGAAGATGTGGTCGATGCAGCCACGACCACCACGAAACCCGGGTTGCCCCTCCCGAATGTAGCTTTCACGAGCGCCAGTCAGTCCGTGAAGAATTATGGAGGCGAGTAATTTGGAGGCGATGGAGATCAGACTGATTCCTTTATGGTTGCTGCATTCCGAGCTCGAGCCGCCTTTGAAGATGTGAACAATAACGGAGCGGCTCCAGTCGGTTGGGACAATCTCCTGCTCCCACAGTTTCACTAGTAATTCATGTAAAGCATCAACAAGAGCAGAGCCTCCGAATTTGAAGAGAGCTGGAAGAAGATCGTCTGGTCCCGCGGCTTTGTTCAACTTCGACAGTCTGATCTCACGTTCGACTTCTGAGCGAGAGGGTGGATCCAAAGGGACAGCCCAGGGAGTGGGGCGATCAGTGACCGGTGAATCGAACAATTCTAGCCGATTAAATTGCTTTTCAAAATGCTCAGCCCAACGCTCCAAATGTTTTGACAAATTGTGGATAGACTGTCCACTCTCATCACAAATTGTTTCACTAACACTAGGTCTCCTGCTGCTCGTTTCCCGTATCAAACGGAATAACTTACAATGGTTGCCAAGGGTAGCGGCTACTTCAATCTCTGACGCACGAAGAGACCACCAAGATTCGCGGTCTCTCTTCAGGCTAGCGCGGAGTTTTGCCCGGAGCTCTTTGCGAGTTTCATTGTGTTCACTTCCAGCTGGGATATGCCGGCGACCGTCGATAAGTTCCAGAGACCGAGAAGAGACCCAATGTCCATGTTGTCTATTAGACATACCACATGCGGATTTGCCTGCTGCTAGTAAGGTCTGGCGAACATGTGACCAGTGACCATCAATTGTCTCCGGTGTGCGATTACTCAACTCGTATGTCAGCGTACTTCGATACGCATTCAGAACAGCTGGCTTTGTCAGTTGGCTGGTGTCAATGCGCTCACGGCGTCGTCGTGGGCGTCCGCCAAAACGCATCCGCATGGCAGCACATACAAGTGCATGATCGGTGTCCACACATGTGCTCCAAATCGAGCGACAATTCTGGATGCAGCCTCTCCAGCGGTAACTTATCGCAATGTGATCGATCTGCGTCCAAGGCTGGTTCGAGGCTGGTGGGCGTCAAGTCAGCTTCCGGCGGGTGCTGTGTCGGTAATTAGTGCTTGCAAGAAATAAGCGAGCATCTCCACACAAATGAAGTAACCGCTCACCGTTATCATTACGGGAGCCTACACCGTGTTGACCGCCCAGATGCAGTTCATCAGTGGACAACTTGCCAACTTGTGCGTTCAGATCCCCCGCCAACACAACAGTGTCCGTGCTTCTTCTGTGGCGAAGGAGCTGGGTCAGTTGGCGGTAAAAGTTGTTCTTTACCGAATCATCGCTACAGTTTGTGGGCGCATAGGCAGCGATGATGAATAGACACCTATTAGTTCCACGCGAGTTCGGAGATTTGGACGAGCCAGCCATTCGGACCGCACACATCCGGCTACTGATTGGAATCCAATCAACCAGAGCAGCTTCAGCCCGGGGACTCAGGGCAATGCCAACACCAGCTTGGCCGGTGCTCGAAGCTGCATCTTCACCGGATAGGCGCAATGAGAAAATACTGCTTGCTACACCTGAAGGAGATCGCAGATTGAGCACAGTGCTCGAGTCTTGCAGGCAAGTCACTAATAAGCAGCAGATATCGATCGAGAGGGTCTGCAATGTTCGGGCAAGTGCTGCCTGTTGACCGATTTGCAGCAGTGTGCGTACATTGAGGCATGCCAATCTGAAGGAGGATCGAGGGCTCCAAATGGAAGCCGATGAACTGGAATGGACCGCTTGGTTGGACATGGGCTTGTCGACAGGAGAGGAGTGACGCTCCGTGTTCACATGTGAGTTGAAATTAGAAGGTAAATGCCTAGCAAAGCATGTTGGGGGAGGGCAAAGAATCGGGGGGTTGAAAACTGGGGGGATATAAGTGAAGTTGGAAGGGGACGTTAAGAGTGAAAAAGCGTACGAGGGGGAATAAGAAGACGGGAAGGTTTGAGCAGTAGCATCCAAACCCCTATCCACCCTGCTCGATGCAGCAGATAGGGCACCGTTGATTATCCTCTGCGGTGTCCAGAGCATCAAAAATTTTTTGATGTAAGATTCATAGTATTGCTTGAGCAGGATACTGTCAGGTTGCCCAGGCCTAGACAGGAGAACGATTAGGGTTCTCAACCAAAGCCTTCGGTTCAAAAACCTGTCCGCAAGGCATCGGGTTTGGCACTGGGCTACAAGGAGTCCGTTTTAAGGAATAAGGTGCCACCCTCATTCTAACCCTCAATCTGGAGGACCAGGAGGCTGAGTTTGTCTGGCCTCTAACCATTGACTAATCTGGTATGAGTGGCTCTGAAGGTGCAAAAGAACCACTCAGCATAGCTCAATGGATTGCTGAGGCACCCAAACCATCGCACCACGGTAAGGTCCAGCCTCATTGCGATGGACACCCAGACTCAGTTGTATCCTCTCCTACCTTGGACGTTTTCAAAAAAAACGATTAGATGTTGCTCTTAGCTGCCAGCATTTTGTTACCTATACTCCTCTATTATGGATTGCGTCAAGCATGCTTTTCTACAGGATTTATGTATCAAACGGACCTAAGTGAGCGACCATATTTTACTTTTCTCACTCTTTACATTAACGATCACTGCACCACAGTGTCTTTCTGAACGTTTACGCTCAGTAATTTTTTTAAATTATCAAAGTATTCATCTCATCAGACGTTCGGTAGATGACCCAGACATATTTTGATTTCATCATATTCACTTCAACCATTCTAAAGGACGTTTCAAGCACTTGCTTTTATCCCGTGATAAATTGTTCATTGTTCATTGACATAAATCAGCAAAAACTATGAGCTTAAGATCCCCGAGTTTGCCAGTCTCACTTTAATTATTTTGTGTACGTCAACTTTACTTATTCAAAGATTCTTCCCGATCGCGTCTATCACCGCGTTAACCGATGTCACTCTTGACTGAGTGATTGGAACTAAAAGGCACGTAGATAAGTTAATATTTTATTCTTCCTCCCTCTCAAACTAACACTCCACGGACAGTTTCACCCTTGCTGCCTTGTTGCGCGTCGGACACGCTGGCCACCCAAGTAGCTGACTTTGCGCAACCTTCAATAACGATGATTAAGATGTATGTGTGTCACAAATGCTTCACTGACGATACTCAACACATGGGTCGATTTATCCAGCGGCTTCCATCCCAAATTCTGTTATTACTGTCGCTCTCATGTACTTTGATGTATATAACACCTACTATTTAATACACTTTGCACTTTTCAGATCCGCTTGAGAGACAAATTGGCCAAACTCTTACTGGAAACTAGCGCCGTGTTATGCTGTCGTCTTACTCCTCTTCAGAAAGCCGAGGTGGTCAGGTTAATAAAAGAGAGTCGGTCTCCATCCCCTGTCACAGCCGCTATCGGCGATGGAGCAAATGATGTATCCATGATCCTTGAGGCACACGTCAGTTTTGGCGTGTTTGGAAAAGAGGGGCGTCAAGCAGCTCGGGCAGCAGACTATGCTTTTGCACGCTTTCGGTTTCTGAAACGCGCAATTTTATTTCATGGGCACGTATACTATGTTCGCGTGGCCATTTTGGTGTTGTATTTTTTCTATAAAAATCTGCTCTTTACCCTCCCACAATTTTTTTTCGAATTTTTTTGTTTCTTTTCCTCCCAAACAGTGTACCCAGAAGTATATTTGATATTTTTTAACATAACCATGACATCTTTGCCAATATTTTTGTTCGGAATATTTGAGATCCCAATCCCCGAGGCGACCCTTTTACGTCACCCAAGTTTGTATCGTGAGATTGTGCGTAACCGTTGTCTTTCAAAAAGCACTTTTGTCTTATGGCTTGGTTTGGCTATTTGGCACTCACTGGTCGCTTTCTTTGGTGCTTACTTTCTTGCCAGTCTTGGTCAAGCAGGTGGTGGTACTGACCCGGTATCTGGTTACGGAGGTTCAGCCATTGGAGGTTTGGTGGACTTTGGCAATTTCCTTCTTATGACCATCTTTATCACTGTAAATGTAAAGGTTTTTTGTTTCAGCTACACTATCAACTGGGCAATTTTTGTCGGTCATTTGCTAGCATTTTTGGGCAACTTGGCCATTTTTCTGTTCATGAATTTTTATCTCTTTCCAATGCAAACTGCTGCTCAACTGTACTACACTTTGAGCGTTTTGTGGGGGGGTTCCGGTCTTGGCACTGCCTGGTTTGGAATGCTATGCCTCATTCTGCTCGCCCTGATCCCTGACTTGACGTTACGCGGGTTGGCTGACCAGGGTTGGGTGTGGCGTCTGGAACAGATGGAACGGAAAGAATTCTGCTCAGATGATAGTGTAAACAGCAAACAACCTGCTTCGAGGCAACCACAGAGGGAGTCCCGTGGATCTCATCAGCAGCGCCCCCACGGTGAACAATCCACTGATTCAGTTGGGGTGAGTGTCTCCATGTAGAACATTGTTTTGCCTCTCCTTCTCCCCTTGTTTACGGTAAATTTTGAGGACGCATTTCATCACAGTAACCGAAGCAACCACCAGTATTGGTCAACAGAGGCACTGCACTTTGGAAGGGTCTGTTTAGTTTAACTACAACGATCAGTCCTTTCTGTCTCCACCGGCATCGGCAATCATACCAAACACAGTTTGTCATCTCACAATATTTTCAGTTCCCCACTACATTGTACACCCAAGTTATGGAGTGTCACCTCGTGCGCACCGCTTAATCCTGTGCTTTAACATCGCTCGCTTTCGTACTGGTTGCAATCCGTGCCAGCGTGCCCACCATGCCTAGATATTTACTTAACCACCTTGTCCAATCGGGTAATTACATGTCGCTTTCCAGGCACAATATTAGTGCAGTAACGCTTTTCTCTCATGCTCTGTATCTACTATTTTACTTTTCGACATCGCAAACAAGTCTTCTAGTGACAGCAACCAAGTGATATTATTTTCAGGCTCTTATTGCTTCACTTTGCTTTTGTATCTCCATGAAGCGCAGCAACGACCCATTCTGAAAAGAACCGGTCTCGTCCAGTCTGTGTGAAATAAACCAATTAATGGCTTAATCATTTTATAAAGAAGCGGTTCCACAGGTGGCAACTGACCATATTATAAGCACTGATCATGAGCTTAACCAGATCAAATGCAACATTCTGTTAGCAATCATCAATGTGGTGCACATTGCCAAATGATTTGTCCGTAATCTTGAATCCTCTAAGGCATCCGCTTGATTACGGAATAATGAAAATAGGAAGCTAGAGGACATTTATTTTTGTTACTCCATGAATATAATATTGGACATGCACTCGGAATAATACCATCTGTTACAGCACAGTTTAAATGTGCGACGTACTATTCACGTACGATGCGCTTTTGAACTCGGTACTCCGCAAAGTGGGCATTTAGGGATTTGTTGAATTCCGATACCGCTTTCGTCTCGACTGCTGTCTCGCGTACTTTTTCACCTTTCAACATTTGAAGCATAGATGGTTAGCTATCCGCTTCAGGTCCGTCACTACACTGATGAACCGGTGCGCGCGAGTGCTGCCTGGTGCGCACACACGCAGAAGTGGCCTCAGCATAACGAAGTCATCTAGATGTAATATCCAGTGCGTCATTCTGAGGTCCACTCGCAACCGACGATTCAGTGCGGTGTACAGTCCCAGTCCTGTTCGTGTAACAAATGTAGAGTGAACCCAATCATGTATGCCGCTATTTGCTGAAACTTTTCAACAACACTAAACACAGGGTTAACTGCTTAAAATAATACAGTCGTTTAGGATACCGACGGGGATTACCTTACTTTTCGGATTTGCTAACTTTGAAATCTTTTCCCGAAGTTGGCTGTATACTCTTTGGATATTTTCAAAAGAACGATTGGATGTTGCTGCTAGCTCCCAACAATTCGTTAAATAAGCTATGCTACTGTGGAATGTCCTTGTTTTCCACTGATACCAGATTTGTCACATATACTCAGTACAATGATACTTTAGCGAGCGAGCTTATTTTTATTTTTCTCACATAATACGTGAGGTATAGCTGCCCCCATGTTGTCTTGTATTCGATTCGCACTTTGTAATATCGTCATTCAGCAGCGGCACGTAGCTCGATGGACGCTTAAACGGATGACTCACATAACTTTAATTTAGCAGGTTTCACCCCAGCCTTCCTACGGGACTTGTCAAGCGCGTGCTTTTTAACCTTAGTTCACTATTTATTTATTTGTACGCTACCTGGCGTGTCCCCAAGTTGCGAATCCGGGAGTGTCTTCTTCGCGTACGTTATTGAGAATAAGTCTCGTCTGTTTGCAGACGAAATGAATAAACAATCGCGGACAATCAACCACAGCGTGTTAGACCTTTGGGGTTTCGAGCTATTCACCTGGTTCCCCATTACATAGCACACAAATTCGGATGGCGCTGGCTATGGAGTCACTAACCACTCACTTCTGCCACCGGAAGTGAGTACTTAGCGTGGGACAGATGAGCAACCTCGATGGCCACCGACTTCTGTGTGGACTTCGAGCACTGTAATTTCGGCTGGCTGTCAATGGCTTTCGTACCTCGCAGTAGGTTCGGTGTCCCAGGAAATCTTCCCTGTTCTCTGTGCTGCTGCACCCGGGTTCTTTAGCGGCGCTGAATAGTTTGTTACCACTCAAAGCCGTATTATCTTTACTTTGGTAGCTTGTTTCCAACGGTTCACAATATACCTCAATCGCTCTGCTGTCCTGTGGGTTAGGTCTTTGTGACCTAAGGCTCCACGCGGGGTCTCTTAAGCCAACCCTCTTTCTCGACCTGGGAAAAAGAGTACCACACCCACATAACCTATAAACTAGTGCTCTAATTATTCTCTACTCGCTCTCTGATGTGGCACTCTACCGGTTGTATTTTTTCTGACCAGCTACTAAATACATAGTTATATTTATACACATCGAATATCTACAATGGGTCTGCAACAGCTGACTTTATCTCGGTCACATGTAGAGAAGTACACGGTTAAGGTGGACAGCACAAGCGCAACTGACCATTGTACTTCACCTAGTGTTTCGTCTCAGTGGCAACACACCGGTTGCCATGTGGTCGGAACAGTTGCGTGACCTCTGCGAGGCCGTTTAACGCATTCTGTCACCGCTCCTGTTGTGGCGCTGATTTCATTATAAGTGGTTAGCGTAAACTATATGAGATTCCTTTATGATCATTGTCCTCGGTCACTGTCACTGGACATTTTGAAATATGAATATGTGACGTTTCCTTCACAACTTCTGAATTATCGACCATACATAATGATCAGTTGCAACGTAGTAACATTATGATTTTAATTACTACTTCCAGAAAGTACACAGCAGCAAAATTGACTATATCAATCCATCTTTTGAGTGGAACAATGGTGACACTCTTCCGCGAGTTGAAGCATTCAATTACGCCCGAGGATCTCGGCAACCAGTCGAGGGCGTATTCAACCACGAAAATGTCCCACCACTTCCATCAGGCAGTGAACCGCGTGTCAAACACCTCCCATTCCACGTCATCGGCGGTGGCCAGCCAAACAGATGTGTCATTGTCCCATGAAGTATCGACCTTACAAGAGTGTCCTCGCCTTGTGCATTACCTGTGCGCCCTAAACGCAATCACTTGCACATAGAACTGCACGGACGCTATGCACCCTCACATTTGGCGCTTTCTGTGTAGTCCTTTGGTATATGTACCTATTTTCTTACCTCTTATCTAGCTGTATTTTCATGAATTGCTATCTATGTGTTCACCCTGTCGTCAATGTGCCAATCCTTTGTTGTAAAAATATTTTTAACACCCATCTTGGTCGGTCCTAAATCATCCTGCTAGATAACACCCAGCAGGTAAACGCTTCAGATGACCCCAACCATACTCCCAATTTCAGTGGCCTCATGATCACGATTTTGAAGCCGCAAATTTATGCCTTAAATAAGCGTGCTCCTACCATCGGCCAGACGAAGGTGACCGACTGTTGCCACTTTTGTTAATCTACAGACACAACGACACTAGATCGCCTGTCGTATCGAGACTTTCGAAGAAGTACACATCACCAATTGTGCATATTGGTTTCGAATGAACACTTGCACTTTAACTCCCTTTAGATGTGTCACTATGAACTGGACTACGTGTGTAGTGAATTTGACAAATGCATTATGTTCATTTTGTGCATGACCAGCTCAAAGTTGGCTAGTGGCCATATGAAAGTAAGACAGCAGCAAAGCGTTTATAGTGCCGGATGAAAGGGCTGGGCGTCAGTGGAATGGCTGCACAGACATCATAACTATATGTACCCGATTTATCCTGAGTATTGGTTCATTGGTGTGAGGAGAACAGGAGGGGAGACCCTTGTCAGCTCCGTCGAATCCGACTCAGTGCAGATTTGACGCAACTGGCAGCGAAGCGACATTCCTCTGGGGATCGTTGCCGTTGCAGTAGGAGCAGCAGAACCCCGCCATACTCATCAGGTGGCAGTCAAGCAGCCTTTTGAAGCTTTCCTCTGTCGGTGCATCTGCAATGATCTCCGGCGGGCGGTTCCAATCATTCACTACACGAATTGATAGGGCATCCTCTGGACAGACATGTAGTATTCGGCTCTTGTACAACTTCGACTTGTGGCCTCGTGTCGAGATGTCCACGTTGAGCCGAAAGTGATTTTGAACCTCACTCCCAAGTTCTCTTAGGATCCGTCTGGTGTAGATAAGATCCCCACGGCGCCGACGATAATCCATGGGAAATATGTTCAGTTTTCTGAGTCGAAGAGGGTAAGCAAGAGCTCGAAGCTCCATACGGGTTTCGAACCACGCGTCCGAACTCTTTCTAGCAAGTTGCATTCAGATTTTAAGAGAGGATAGGTTGCTGGAAGTCCATACTGCAATATCGGGCGAATGTGTGATGTGAACCGAGTTCTGAAAATTGCCAGAGTGATACGGAAGAACGATTTGCGTAGAGCACCCAGCATCCTGTTTGCGGCCGCGACCTTTCTCAGGGGGTCTTGGGAAGTTCTAAGGTTATGTGACACGATCATTTCGTGCGTGCCATTCTTGAGAAGATATCCGCCAATGTAGTATACACCGAATGAATCCGGGTTACCTATCAGAAGAACAGCACATTTGTCGTGTTTAACGGGTAGTTTCCACTTTACGTACCAATCGTGCAGCTGATCCAGCGCCGCTTGGAGTCTGTCCTCGTCCTCAGGACTAGCTTCTTCTGATCATATCTTGAGATCATCAGCATGAACTAAGCAGCCGGCTTGAAGAGCTGCAGGGAAGTCATTAATGTAGGGCTTGAATAGTTCCGGCCTAAGGACAGAGCCCTGCGGGACTCCGCTAGTCATAGTCACAGAGCCAGACAGCGTTTGGTTCACCTTCACTTGAAGAGTCCGATCCCTCAAAAAGTCCGCAACCCATGCAAGGACGTTTCCAGTGGCGCCACTTCTTTGGAGTTTGAGCAGAAGTCATTTGTGTAGGACTCTGTCAAGGCCTTGCTGAAGCCAATGTAGATAATATCTAGGTGTCTCCGGTCGTCTACTGCTTTGACCCATGTTTCTCTGACAACAAGCAGGTCAGAGATGCAGGAGCGAGCCCTGTGGAATCCATGCTGAGCGGGAGAGATGGCGCACAGGCTTTCACAGTGGGTGTGGAGGGCACGCTTGATGATCCGTTCTACGATCTTGCAGATCACAGACGTCAGGCATCTCGGTCGATAGTTTGCAAAATCGTGCCTGTTCCCTCCTTTGTACTTGGGTATTACAATCCCTACTTTCCAGTCAGGTGGTAGGCGCGCGTCTGCAAGAGAACACCAGAAAACTTGGTGTATCGGATCAGCAACGTATTGTACTACCATCTTGAGGAATAGCAGGCAAAGTCCTTTGGAACCCGGTGCAAAGTTCGGGTTCAGTTCGAGGAGGATTCTCTTGACTATCTCGGGATTGATTTCGACTTACTCAAGAGGAGGATAATGCGTTGTCAAATCGTCAGTGCGTAATGACGGTTCCACGGAGTAGATCGAGTAGTACTGGGAGACTAGTAGTTGAGCCTTCTCCTCATCTTCCTAGAGCACTGTTCCCTCTTCCGGGCAGGATAGAGCCGGAATATCACTACCAGCCTTAGTGTTCCGCTTCAGGTACGAGAACAGCTTCTTCGGGCAGCTTGATTGCATGACTAGGCTATGTTCGTATTGTGATCGTTTCTAGCGCTTTCTTGGAGTTCACAGACTTCTTATTACTTTAGACCTCAAGTAATCTGATGTTACCTGTGTTGAGTAGGTCCCACAGTCTGCATCGTCTGATCATCTGGGATCTTACCTCTCGGTCGATCCAAATAGACCTTTAGGGAAAGGCCTGCTCTTGGTGATAGGAACAACTTTTTCGATGACCCACATCATCTTCGAGCGTAGTATTTTCCATGCCTCGCCAAGGTTCAGGGATTTTGGAATGGTACAATCTGTGGTGCTTGCCAATTGTAATATGCATGGGACAGCACGCCAGAAGTTGCGACGGTGTGTCGTCCGATCGTGGATTGTAAGTTGGCATGTCCAAAAGAAGGAGGTTGTAGAGTGGTCACTCCGGCCGAGTGGTTGGAGAATCTTTAGACCATGGACATCAGAGGGCGCTGGTGTGAGATCGAGATGCGGTATGTTTGATGTTTGACCTGGTATCATCCGTGTTGGTGCTGAGATGTGCTGGATCAGACTACATTCGTGAATAGCCAGCCTCGAAGGAAACTTAGTAAAGATCACACTGAAGAAGGTTCCAGTGGACACTGGGTGCATTGAAGTCGCCCATTAGCAGACAGTTCCTTCCTCGACCATTAGTTTTTACCAACTGTAATAGACGGACGTCTGAGCTCAGTGGTACTCTGTAAGCCACACCGACCGTGTGCAGTTGATAACCGTCATGAATTCGGCACCACAGTATCTCTGAGGCTCCATCATTGTCGCAGAGAGCTTCGAATACTTGTACCTTGAGGTAGGACCTCGAGTAGAGAATTACTGTACCCCACTCTGCCCACTGGAGCGATTAGCTCTTTAGAGCGGATATCCTGATATGCTAATCTAAGCGTCCTGGATCTCTGGGGACAACCAGATCTCGGTGAAAGCCAGTAAGTCTGGCTGATGCTCAGTAATGAGAAGAGGAATCTCGTTGAGCTTATTTTTAAGGCTGCGTGCATTGGCAAATATCACTCACAATCCTCTATTTAGGCTTGTGGGTTGGGTGGCAGGAGGATTGGCTTCCAGCGTGTTCTCTATGTTTTCTGAACAACGCGAAAATCCACAATCTGGTCATAAGTTTTGCCGTTCGCTCGGCGGGTTCGCAATTCCTTCACGGCTTGTCTCTTACTGACTCTATCTTCTGGGGTAAGGTCTTTCAGGGCAGAGGTTTCTCCTTTGAGACGTGAGGTAGGCCTGAAGATGCGGCGGCATTCATCCTCATCTTGACAGACGACTTTTAGCGGGCAAGTCTTGGATTGATCATCCTGTTTTCTACCCAAAAAAGCTGACGTAAAAGTTATCTTCATGCTGTACCGTCATCATACCACCTCACCGCCGCTCGTAAACATCTGGTACTGGATGGACCAGGATGTTATCTCCGAACTGTGCTCCACTTAATATCCGCGCTTCAAGGTCACGGTGCCATTTTGAACAATCATCCATTTGCTTTTCATCTGCTCATGTGACCACGAGCTGAGGCCAGAGCATGCATCCGGTGTATGTCTCATATTATTTATTTCTTTTGCCCTCAGCCTCTGTAAAGGACTTAGGCTGATGTCTGGAGAAAGAGGGTCGCGTTACCCAAACAACGTGTGATGACGGTCCTCTTCATCGGCTCCGATCTTTCATACTATCCTCTGACCTGTCTTTACCGCTACACCTGATACTCTGTTTGCTCGTTCATGCTAAGAGATGGGTGGACGTTACCTGATATTCCATTTCGGTACGATGGTCTAGGATTTATAACCAGGACCTGTGTGGCAGCAAAAATATGTCCAAGTTCTTTCCTTACTCTGGCAGCAGTTCAGCGCAGCTGACAGTGACGTGATCGCCACTTTACCCGACTTCACATATTTTGAAGTGCTAAACTGAAAACCAATATCCTGGAGAACTCGAATCCCAGTTTACTTCGGTCGTAATTGAGACTAGTGAGTTAATTCCTAAGTAACTTATTTACTGTGACGACCAACTTTCGTCTCGATTGATCAGCAAAGGCGTATAGCATGTTGATGCCAATTATCTGTCTTCTGGTACAGCAAGCTTTGTGGGTACTACAAACTCAGCATGACAATGACAAGCTAAACATTTTGACACAAGACTTCGAATTTGACTGGTCACTAAGTGGAGAATGTGTCCCTCTAGTAGGTAGAGTCTCTGCCATTTGCTTTACCACAGTGGAGTATAGTATTCCAGCAGCTAGATACCATCACTGTAGGAGAACTGGGCACACATGTGGTAACCGACCAAAAGGAAAGCGTCTGAACTGAGCAACCAGGCACCGGCTTCGTGTGAGTCGTCCCAAATTCGTTTCGCGGCATTGCGAGCAGGCTGTTTAGCCAAAACGTCAGGGATGTGTTCGCCAATTCAACGCACTGCTTGCGCCTGAGCTACCGGGTAATGTCGCGCACCCTGCAGAAACCACGCATTACACGGCTACTTCGTTGCACTGTCTCCTTCGCCTCTTCCTGAAGTCCATCACACACTAACAGTTTTTTCGAAATGATTTGGATTATTCGTAGCTCGGGAGGACTGTTCAGTAGTTGTCGTGTTCTCCGAGCTAGCCAACTTGATTGCAAACGTTTCGCCACTATTCGAGGTGGCATATTCGGTGCAAAATTGATAGCAGTCAGGTAGCAGGAGCTGGTAGAAAGCAAACCCAATGATGGATGCTGTCAGGAACCACCCCGTTCCTTATAGAACATATAAGGATGTTACGTTCGCCTCGTTCTAATTTATGA